AAGTTGGCAGAAAACAGATTTGAAGAAATAATATTTAAATATTTCCCCAAATTTGCTGAAAAGCATAAATTTATAGATTCAAAAATTTCAGTTCTCTACAAGCAGAATAAATATAAAAATACCATACACAGACACTTTATGTGTGCGGCAGGAAAAAAGTAACAAAGAGAAAATCTTGAAAGCAACCAGAAAAAAAATGACAGATTATATTCAGGGAAACGATTGAGTATCTGCTGACTTTTCATCAGAAATGGTGACACAACATATTGCTGAAATTAAAAAAAAAAAAACCAACGCAGAATTCTATATCCCTGAATATGAAGCATATTCAGATAAAAAGGAAACTAAGAGAACTCACCAGTAGATAGATATACACTGCTAGAGATTATAAAAGAAATTATTCAGGCTGAAGGGAAATAATACCAGCCAGAAACTCAGAAATTCAGGACAGAATGAAGAATATTGGAAACGGCAGCTATGAGGGGCATAAAATGTGTAACCAGAATCCTCTTTACGGAATGACTTTTTGTTCCTACTACTCAGAGCATGACTGGGAGACAGACCTTCTCATGGCAGCCCATATCCAAGGACTAATTGAGATGGAGGTATAAAGCCCCAGCCATTCTGACCCAATGCAGGGCCTCTCTACATCCATTCCAACTCCACAGTCCCCCACGGAGGTCAGATGAGAGTGTCAGTGTTTGAAATTACAGACGGACTTCGCTCTCTGCAAACTTACCCTTCCTTACACGCGTGTCTTGCGAGGGTCCTCCCTAATAAACTTTCCCTATTCAAAACCGTTTCTCAAACCAGAGTCTGATTCCTGGAGAGCCTGCAACAGCATTAACAACTTAAAGGAACAGAGACTTTTTTTAAGAAAATGGTTTTCTTCTACAATTTTCCAACTTTGCTCTGGGGCTTTTCTATATTGCTTTTTTAAATACAAATAGAATTTTGTTCTTAGGATGGTTTCTAGGTTGTCTGGACGAACAAGGCAAATAAATTCAGACTAAGAAAACTTTGCGGTTATTTGCTCACTGTTAATGCATGAACAGTGTTGTTTCTTCATAGAAATAATGAGCTGACTGTGACTTTTATACCAACTTTGTTTTCTAGTTTTGTTACAATAAAAAAAAAAAAGTAATGGTTGTGGATTTGATTCTTAGGAGCTGTTAGGATCACACAGTCTGGTGCTATTTTAGAAGCACAGATCTGCTCCCAAATCCCAGACAGCGGTTATCAACTGTGTGTCAGTGATAACAAGGAGAAAGAAGTGGGAGTATGCCAGTGGTTACTGCATTTTAATCACTGTAACAGACTGGTTTTTTTGGGTGCAACATAAAGCCAAGTGACAACTGACTTATCTTATTAAATACCACCATGAGCTGAAATACTCATGACCTTCCTGGGAAACAATTCATCTACTGTAGAAGTCTCTCGTTTGTCCCTGTCTACACATTTCTATTCTCAATCTATTATCATCCTTATATCTAACTTCTCATCTGACTCCTCAATTTAAGAAGGGTTCCCCTCCTCATTTTTAATGTTAAGCATTCCATTTATACCCCAGATTGTCTCCTCATCTCTTTTCAGATCTTGTTCTCTGTTATAGAGAGGAAAGAGATGATTATCACTCCTAGGACCCAAAGCCAAAAATCTCTAGTGCTCATTCTACTATTTTTATCTTTATGTGTACTTTCTTTTTGGGATCCTCCACTCCCTAAATGATCTCACAAATACTTCTAAGTGCCTAGAGGAATTTTCCTCCTAGATGTCCTCTCCCTCCCTGTACCAAATCTAATATCGTCCTCTGCAAAGAAACTTCCTTTCTTGGCTCTCAGTGTCTCTCATAATAGGCCTTTACAAAATGGAAAGCCCAAAGGTAGGAGCTCTTGACTCTTGCTTTAAAATAAATCTTTACCAGAGCACCTAGGTAGCTCGTTCAGTTAAACCTCCAACTTTAGCTCAGGTCACGATATCACAGTCCTTGAGCCAGAGCCCTGCCCATCGGGCTCTGTGCTGACAACTCAGAACATGGACCTTCCTTCAATTTTTGTGTCTCCCGATCTCTCTGCCCCTCCCCACCCAAAACTGAATAAACATTTAAATAAATAAATAAATAAATAAATAAATAAATAATCTTTACCATGTGCCACTACCACTGAGTGGAATATTGCTATTACGACATTGTCCCCCAATGTTGCTTTATTATATTATCTTCCTGTTCACAAAGCAACAGATGGTCCTCAATGCTTACTGCACAGTATCAAAGTTCCTCTGTTGAGCTATCAAGTACCCCTGGAATTCAGTCTTTTTTCCCACTATAGTGTAGCACACAATCTCTGTTCCATCAAGCTAGAGCTCTTTCTCTCCCTGAAGTACCTTGCTTCAGGCCACCCATCTCCTCCTCCCAATGTGTATATCTGCCTTTCCCCCATCTATCAGAACCTAACATTTAAGACCCGTTTCCTCCATTAAGACTTCAGCATTTCCAACTCACTGTGATTTTCCCCGTCTTTGGATTTTTACTAGATTTATAGATGATTTCAAGACTGATGGATTATCAGTCCAATAATTCCCCAATTATGTCATGTTAGCTTTATCTCCCTAATTTGTATTGCTAATAACTTTTAGGCACTCTTCACACACATGCACACACACCCTCCATAAATAATGCAGTGTTTTTAATAAAGACTTTTTATTGCTTTATTAATTAAGCATGGATGGTTAGAGGAAAACAATTATGTAAATTCAAAACTATAACAAGCTAGAAAGGGAATCGAGGACTGAAATTTATGAAGACAAACCCTTTCTTTTTTTGCAATTACTTTTAAATTTTTCCCCCCATTTTTGGCAAGCCACTGAATCTACCAACCACCCTGTTTTGATTTTTATTTCCTTTTCTTGTTACTGTCTGCCCCCTAGTGGAAGATAATGATAAATGGTCAAAGTTAGCCCAAAGACCAGAAAAGGTGGAGGGAGTCCTTTAGTAATCATGTTCTTAATACCAGGGACTTATAAAACGTAGAATCAAAATTTTTTCTTGTGTTAAAATATGATTTTAACACAAGGACAAATGTAGAATATGGTAGGCTAAAGTTAGGAGAGTGTGAGGGAAGAGGACCAGAGAAAGAGGTGGAAAGCCTTGCTGTACAGCAGATAACTTAGGCTGTTTTCACTTTCCCCCAATGGACTTTCTTAATAAACTTTGTCTACAAACAACCACATTGCTTGAATTTATAGGCAAATAAGTCAACAGAAAAATAAATAGATTTTTTAAATGCCATGTTTTACTTTGAAGTCTGCTCTTATGCACCTTTGTGAATTTATCTTGCATGATAAAGTGAGTTATTTTTGCCAAAATACTGCTTGGCAGTATTAATAACAGTGCAGTATTAGTAATAAAAACATAAAGTCATGCCGCAAGTGGTTTGCTTCTCATTATTCTAAATTATGTCACAGTGAATTTATCATGCAAATGTCTGCATCTAATATAATTTGGGTTTTTGTATCTTGATTCCAAACATTTGGATAACTTTATAATTATACAAGCACAGTTTTCAGAGATTTGATTTATGCAATGAATCTTCTAGTTGTATTCAGAAACAATTTCAACATTCAAACATTTAAACCATTACAATTCAAAATTAGCAACTACATTTTCATCTTGGTTTTCCCCCCTTTACCTAAGAGCCATAATGCAATTTGACATGAAGAAACAGCTCCTTGCCTAGCTGGCTTCCCTGCCAAGTTGAGTCCTGCATGGTTTCCCTAAGAGCTTTCTACAATTAGATCCCAACCAGTGAAAGATTTACAACACTAGATGTGTTTTAAAGTGAATAGTCTATTAAGCTTATAACCAAATTGAGGCATAAATTTTTTTAGTGGTGTTATAAATAGTAGTACTTTTCAGTGAAAAGCATAATGCTTCTGCAAATGTCTAGTGATGTTTGCAGACGTGACTGGGTGTGACTCTGCCATAGACTAGTAGTGTTGGACAAAATCAATTCACTTCTCTAAGCCTCAGATTTTTATAAAATAGAAAAGTGTCTTCCTTGCCTACTTCTCTGGTTGGCTTTGCAGATCAAAGGACAAAATTCTGCAAAGAAAAGTACAGGAATGCTATAGGGTTATCTTTCGTGGGTTCACCAGAAGATTATCATGTGGAAAACAGGCTTTTCTTTTGCTAGAATGTAGGCAATACTTTAAAGTCTTTTCTTTTTTCAATTATCAAATTATAAAATTTAAACCCAACTACACCGTTCCCTTGCAGCTGCTCCCATTTACTAAAAGTGAAACCTGAAATCTCCCTCCCACACCAACTCCTACCAACCCTCTGTAATGAAACCCGGACACCCCCACAATTGCCCCAAGTGTTTTACAAACTCCTACAGGAACCTAGATGTTGAAGAGTGTGTCCTCTCATCCAGAAAGTGTCTTTTACAGCCTACACATCTTAAAGATAAATACAGACACCCATCCCAGTTGCATTACTAAACTGTGTGTTACATTTTAAAAGCACCTGGCCATAGATTGTTCTCAAAAGCGATAAACTTTCCTAATTTATACTGTTAACAACATTGATCCAAATGGGGGTAGGATTTTTTTTTTTTTTTTGAGAGAGAGAGAGAGAGAGAGAGAGAGAGAGAGAAGAGGATCAAGAGAACCCAGATGACCTGGATTCCTACTAGAGTACATTTCATTTATTCTGCCTCGGTCAGTAAAGGGGGAGGGAGTATGGGGAAATAAGGAAGTGGACAGTGCGGGGAAATTATAAAGAAATTTACAAAGCAGTAGGATACAAAGTAAAATAAGTAAGACAAAGAGCAAACTAAGGATAACAAATTGAAATAAATCCAAGAGTAACCTCCTCTTCCATCTCTGGGATTGCATTATCTTGCATTGCTCCAGAAGAAAGGCAAAGGAAACTCAGCAAAAGCTGACCCAAGTTTCTCGCCAGTCATTCCTCTGTCACTCTTCCAAAGAGAATTCAGACTTACCAGCCACTAAGAAGACAGTGGAAATCAGTAGAAGCCATAGGTCTAAAGTCCTCCAAGTGCAGGGCATTTTCTGATTGCTTGTTTTCTGCCCTTTACTTGGTACTTAGCTTCCACACAGGTATGAGGGGAACTGTGAGCATGGTGAGGCTCTCTCTGGTCAACTGCTCTGTGCTGGATCCTCTTAGCTCACTGGGAGCAGGACACTCCTTTTCTTCTAGCCTTTTCCTTCAACTCTGTGTCTGAGGCTGGTTAGCAACTTGGAAGAGAAGAAACTCTTCTCTGGAACTTGACACAGCAATAGATTTCCTGTATGAAGCACTGAAGCAGAGACGGAGGAAGCAGATTGATTGAGTTCTCTGTCAGCTCATTGGTCCCCTTAGCACTTCTGCTCTACACAGATCAACTTTACAGTAAGGCGCTGCATGCGCTCAAGATAAACAGATTTGTCTGAGCCTGGATTGCAAAGCAACACAGGATATTCATCTGCTCTGACCTACCCCTTTAAATTTCCCAGTCACAATAACTTTAAGGAGCTTTCTCCAAATGAAGAGGTGTACAGCTTCAGTAATAAAGTTTGGAATAAAACATCTTCCCTTGAATATTCTTGGGTGAAATTACTGTCTATAATGGCTACAACTCTAGAAGAATCAGAATTGTATTAGTTTCCTACTGGTACTCTAACTAATTCCCACAAACTCCGTGGCTTAAGACAACACAAATTTATCGTACAGTTGCAAGGCCAGAAGTCCAAAATGAATCTTACAGGGCTAAAAGTAAGGGATCAGCAAGGCTGCATTCTTTCTGGATACACAGAGAGAACCACTACATCGCCTTTTCCAGCTTCCAGGGCTCACCAGCATTCTTTGGTTTGTGATTACATCATCCCCACCTCTGTTCCTTTGTCACATCTCCTCTGATGGTAACCTTCTTGCCTTCTTCTTACAAAGACCCTTGTGAGTACATTGGACTGACCACCCAGATAATCCAAGATAAACTCCCCATCTCAAAATCCTCAACCTATCACATCTGCAAAGTCCCTTGTCCCCTGTAAGGTTACCTACTTACAAGTTTCAGAGGTTAGAACATGGACACTTTAGGAGGCCATTAATCTGTCACTCACAGTTGCATACTCATTCTCATTGAATTTTGCCTTTGAAGAGCCAGACTGATCATTTGTACCAAATTATAAATAAACACTCACCTTTAGCTGTCACATATCTGGAACTTAGACTTGCCAAAAAAAACCCTGCCATAATGTCATCAGTTCATATGCATTTAAATTATGTTTGGAAGGAAAGAAATCTTCTATGTGCTAAGAATTTTCTACCCCAAGACACAACCCTTAGGAAGAGGAAGAAAATATTGCAAACAGGAAAAAGATTAAACAACATGCACTTTTTTCTTTTAGGTTAGCAGTTTCATATTCTCTCTTGCCAAGCATTAAATTGTATATATTTCCTCCTTCCATTTCTCAATATTTCCTTCCAGTGAACCAGTGTGACTGAGACAGTGAAATCAGGCACTGAAGGCATGGAGCACTTGAACATATGTGCTATCTAACAATGGTGGACTCTGGCGAAAACAACTTCCTTGCTGTCTAATATTTCACCACGTGTCAGAAAATCAGTGATGAAATGTCATTTAAAATAAAGCATTCTGGTTTCTACCACAGAGGCTAAGGTTCAGAGGTTAAGATCATGGGTTTTGATAACAGACCTAGGGTTGAACCTCTGGTGGGCAATTACTAGCCCAATGATACTAGACAAGTTTCTGATTCAATTCTGTAACCTGTTCTTTCCACTTAGTATTATGTTAACATGAGCATTTTCTCACATCATCAAAAAACTGTGACCAACTATTTAATGCCCATTCAATGCCACAGCCCAAACTAAAGCACAGAAAGGCTAACTGGCCTGCCTAAGATCTCAAAGTGACCTGGTAACATGGCGAGGAGTAAAACTACAGTTTCATGTTGGTTAGCCCTGTGTTCCCCCCACTCAACTCCTTTGGTTTGAATTCTAGGGCAACAACTTTCATAGAAAAGCTCTCACATTCTCATCTCAGTCAGACCACATCTATAATTAACAGTTTAAGAGTAAGAGAATGGTGTCAAAAAACATAGAATTCTCAAAGTAGATAGGGGACGATGAGACTTTCTTCCCCATTCCTTCACCTCTTCCACTCCAAGCCGCACTCCCTAACCAGCTCTCACCCTTACCTCTTATGGAGAGCAAGTGCTTGAGAAACCAGTGAAGGGACCAAGAGCTTGCTAGCATAATCACCCACCAAAGATATGCCATGAAAGTCAATATAATAAGAGAAAAATGTGCTTGTCTAGTAAATGGACCTCTTTGAAAAATCTTAAGTCCCCAGATTCTCCTTAGCTGTGCCCCTTGGCACAGGAATACAAAAGCAGAGCAGAAGAACAAGACAGGATCAAGAGAAAGGTACAGCTCAAAGCAGAAATCCAAACCTTTTACCCCCTCAGTCTTCTAACTCCTCTTCAATATTGCCACTTAAGAATCAATGCACATGAGAACTACATCAAAACAAAAAGCTTCAGCACAACTAAAGAAACAACAACACTAAAAGGCAACACACTGAATGGGAGAGAACATTTGTGAATGACATAAGCAATAAAGGGTTAGTATCCAAAATATATAAAGAACTTATAGAACTCGATACCAAAAAACCCCAAATAATCCAATTTAAAAATGGGCAGATGACATGAACAGATATTTCTCCAAAGAAGACATACATCTGGCCAACAGACACATGAAAAGATGCTCAACATCACTCATCATCAGGGAAATGCAAATCAAAACCACAATTTTAAAAAAAATCATATAATGAAATAGCACCTCACACCTGTCAGAATGGCTAAAATCAACAACACAAGAAACAAAAGTGTTGGAGAAAATGTGAAGAAATGAGAATCCCATGCACTGTTGGTGGGAGTTCCAACTGGTGCAGGCACTGTGAAGGACAGTATGGAGGTTCCTCAAAAAGTTAAGAATAGAACTACCTTATGATCCAGTAATTGCCCTAGTGGGTATTTACCCAAGAAATACAAAGACACTAATTCAAAGGCATCTACGGACCCCATGTCTATTGCAGTATTATTTACAATAGCCAACATATGGAAGCAGCCCGTGTCCACACACACACACACACACACACACACACACAAGAATATTAGTCAGCCATAAAAAAAAGAATGATATCTTGACATTTGCAACAACATTGATAGAGCTAAAGAGTAAAACCCTAAATGAAATAAGTCAGTCAGAAAAAGACAAATACCATATGATCTCTCTCATATGTGGAATTTAAGAAACAAAACAAATGAACAAAGGGAAAGAGAAAGAGAGAGACAAACCAAGAAACAGACTCTTAACTATAGAGAACAAACTGATGGTTACTAAACGGGAGGTGGGAGATGGGGAGGGTAAAAGAGATGATGGGGATAAAAAGTATACTTACCATGAGGAGCACTGAGAAATACATAGAATTGTTGAGTCACCATATTGTACACTGAAACTAACTTAACACTGTATGTTAACTATACTGGAACTAAAATTAAAAAAAAAAAAGGAATCAGGCACACGAGAGACAAAGAAAATGACATTATGCAGGTTAATGTTGTGGTAGTCAAAACAAAAAGTCTTAGTAAGTTTCAGTAAGTTAGAGCAGCTTTAATATATAATGTCCCCAAATTTGCACTTTTGATTTACTAAAAAATTCATTTACCTGCCTATAAATGCTTTTGAAGTAAATATCTTCCAGTGAAGTGTCTCCAATGTCAGATTCATACTTAGCGATAATTGAAGCCAGTTAGGAAGATGTTGCTTCCCTGTCCATTATGTAGAAATTTCATGGATCTTGAATACATACTGCACAGACTCTAATGGCTATTTACCTCTGACCCCTTTCTCCACTGCCTATCCTTTCATCTCCTGGATTTGAGTCTTGTCTGCCTAGAACTCAAGTACCTACTCACCTCTCTTTCTTAGCTGAATTTTCTGGATGTGTATTCTTGCAAAAATGGGCCAATACCTACTTGCCTTATCATTTTCACTTTCTGTGAGCTCTCTGGCTTAGACACACGACTTGACTTACCCTTCCATATACACATGTGCACACACGCACGCACACACACTCTCTCTCTCTCTCTCTCTTTCTCTCTCTCTTATAAGCACACTACTACACACTTAGTCCCAAATTCTTCAATTTACCTTGTCCTACTATTGCCGAACTACCAATGTAATGATTTCACAGAGGTGAAAGACCAATGCCTAGTAGTGTGTAGAATTTCAAGGAACTCAAATTCCACAACATTCCAGTCTGTATTTTACTTCTGCCCTGCCCTCATGGTACAGTGGTGAGATTTGAAGCTAATGAATTACCACCTTAATTGAGGCATGATAATTCAGTGCACAATTGCATGAAATGGCTGCCTTCTTGGCCATACTCTATATCCCATTCTCCCATTCATTTCTCTGCAGTCTTCATTGATTCAAGCTCTGAAGATTCAAGCTCATCTGAAATCCTGGATCTTCCTCCATGCTCAGTCATTAAAGACACTGCTGAGAAACTTAAAAGAGTCTTACAAAATGTTATTTGTATTTTTTACCTTCTACTATTACATCGATATTTACCTTGAAATGTTTTACTTCCAATATACAGTTGATGCTATGTTATCTCTATAATTCTTCTTAAAAAGTTTGACATAACATATACCACATGAGAGCTAATCGTTATTTTTTTATGGGCCCCGGGTGACTCAGTCATTTAAGGATCTGACTTCAGCTCAGGTCATGATCTCACAGTTGGTAAATTTGAGCTCCACTTTGGGTGAGCTCAAGCTCCCTTCAGGAGAGCTCTGCTTCTCTCACTTTGCCCCTCATGACATTCCCTCTCTCTGTGTCCCTCACTCACTTGTGCTCTCTCTCTCTTAAAAAAAGCATTATTTTTTTAATGCAAATTCACAGATTATGCAAAAAGCAAAATTTAGAAATGTTTGAGAATAAAATGTATGCAATATCAGCAAATAAAACCAGACCAAGGAAATTAGTAACTACATTTTATATTTTTTTAAATATTAATTCTAGGCCTCACTTATATCCATAGTAAACAACATATGTCCAACCTTTGGCCTAGTATCAAAGCGCTACTTCTAAGCACTTCGTAAATATGGCCTGACTTAATCCTCTTACAACCTTGTGAAGTACATATTATTATCCCCTCATATCCCCATTTTAGAGTTGAAAAAACTAAAACCAGAGGGCTTAAGTAAATTGTC